TTTGGATCGGCGAGATCATCCGGCTGAGCCACACTTGTCATCTTGCTGTTGTTGTTATTGCCATGGACTCCTCTTCAGAGAGAACTCGAGAGAAATGGCTGTGACCGCAAGAGCGATCGACAGCTCACGCAAAATACAGCACTATATGCCGGAGATTATTTGGCACGACCGTGTATGCCTGCTTTCCATTGATTGCCACAGATTGGAATGCAACGGTTCCACCTACTACAAGGTAAGCAGATTGTAGCATACAAGTAATATTAAAAATTTTACACATAGGGCAGGAATAGAACGGACTATGTGTTGATGGATGTAGGAATAAAGCTGGTATAGGAAAAATAACTACGAAACAGTTAAGACGTTTCGGTCCCTTAAGTCATATACGTCTTAGCTCAACACCGGGACTGGACCTCGTCAGTACGACGGTTGCGGTGTTCAGAGATGAGAAGAAAAAAGGGAGGAGGAACGTAATTTCCTGATGGCCAGTGCATTTGTGCTACGTGATAAAGAGCAGCTGATGTGACACTTTTGCAGCTGATGACAACGAGCTTGCGTCACGAGATACGTCTGTGGAAGGCCGACTTTCGGATGCTGGAAACTGGCGTAGAGGATCTCGGGATCTCGTTCATCGCCAATCTGGATGGATCGCATCGTTCAGCAGTCAATGTAGCGCGTTTTTCCCCTGATGGTATGGTTCAGCTTCAGAATTTCCATTTTCCTGCCGTCTGCAGTGTAAGAACGACACTTTACTTGGATATCATTCTTTTTAATTTGTTCTTTCGCTTCAATGAATTTTCGAGCCATCCTGGCAAATGGCAGCAGACCACCGCCAGTCTGATTAGCGAGAAGTAATACAATGAAGGCTATGCATCTGACAAAAGTATAATACAGCATTAATAAGAACATAAAAATTGGCTATGCTCTGCGCTCCCATGAGCTTGGATTGCCGGGCCGAAGCGGCAGCCAGAAGACGAGCGACTGCTAAGAATCTCAGATGACAAAAGCTTACCGCCATAAAAACGGTTTGGGTCACTCGGTAAGCCCTTTCAACTGTACAAACTAGAAAATTAAGCAAAACATGAGGTATTCTGGCGTCGTTCTGGAAAACACAGAGAAAAATGGAAGACAGTCGCGGTCCGGTGAGGTGATAAAGCAGTTTTGCTCGGCATTGCACTAATCATCCTATTGAATTTGGCGCGTCTTAGCCCAAAATTTACCAGAAATTTATTCTTTAAAGGAGAACTGATTGCCAGTGGTGACTGCGATGGTTGCCTTGTGATCTGGAAAATCTCGGAGACGAAGAAACCTTCACCGGCACCGGCCGACAAAACTCTTCCATCAGATCTGGAAAATTGGCAGCGATTCAAAACTCCAGAAAGGTAATAGCACTATCCAACTTATGTTACCACTGCAAAAAGAAAATTGGATGAGCAGTAATTTTCAGTGTCTCATTTTATCGCACAGTGTGAATTAAAGCAACCTCAGAACTCATTTCTTTCCTCT